GGAAGGAAGGAGAGAAAGAAGGAAGGAAGGAGAGAAAGAAGGAAGGAAGGAAGGAAGGAAGGAAGGAAGGAAGAGAAGATGTAACTCATGGTTAGTTTTAAAAAATAAAAAAAGATCATAGAAACTGATTGAGTTGAGCCCAAAGACCAATCATTAGTAACTCTGTGCTCTGAAAAGGGAAACCACTTTTCTCTCGCCAGCACTCTCAAGAATAAGGAAAATAATATAGTTGACCCTTGGACCACACAGAAGTTAGGGGCATTGACCCCCCACACAGTAAAAAATCCAAGTATAACTTTTGATTCCCCCCAAATTTAACTACTAATAGCCTACAGTTGACCAGAAGCCCTACTGATAACATAAACAGTTACCACATATTTTGTATCTTATTTGTATTATATCTGGTATTCTTACAGTAAAGTCAGCTCAAGAGAAGAAAATGTTCAGAAAGTCATAAAGAACAGAAAATGAATTTTTAGTACTGTACTGTATTTGTAAAAAAACAAATCTGTGTGCTGGCAAGGATGTGGAGAAACGGGAACCCCCGTGCACTGTTGGTGGGAATGCAAACTGGTGCAGCCGCTCTGGAAAACAGTGTGGAGGTTCCTCAAAAAATTAAAAATAGATCTACCCTATGACCCAGCAATAGCACTACTAGGAATTTATCCAAGGGATACAGGAGGGCTGATGCATAGGGCCACATGTACCCCAATGTTCAACAATAGCCAAATTGCGGAAAGAACCTAAATGTCCATCAACTGACAAATGGATAAAGAAGATGTGGTTTATATATATGATGGAATACTACTTGGCAATGAGAAAGAATGAAATCATGCCATTTGCAACAACGTGGATGGAACTGGAAGGTATTATGCCAAGTGAAATAAGTCAGAGAAGGACAGATATCATATGTTTTCACTCATATGTGGATCTTGAGGAACTTAACGGAAGACTGTGGGGGAAGAGAAGGAGAAAAAAATAGTTACAAACAGAGAGGGAGAGAGGCAAACCATCAGAGACTCTTAAACACAGACACCAAACTGAGGGTCGATGGCGGGAGGCGGGGTGGAGGAGAGAGGAAAACGGGAGATGGGCATTGAGGGGGGCACTTGTTGGGATGAGCACTGGGTGTCGTACGCAAGCCAATCTGACAATAAATTATATTTTTAAAAATAATTAAAAAAATAAAAATAAAATCTGTGTACAACTGGACCCCCACGGTTCAAACCTGTTGAAGGGTCAACTGCCCTTCAGTGTCTTCCTGGAGGGATTTGAGGAGATGATGTTCCTAAAGTTCTCAGCACAAAACCTGTTTCACCAAGTTTCTAAAATCCCATCTGCCCACATTTATTTCTGTCAGTTCCTTCTGAACAAGAGAAAGGAGACGTGGTACCAGCCTGACAACTACTGGCAATGCTCCTTCAAAGGTGTGTCTGAGGAGATGCTCCAGATGAGGCATGGACTTGAGGCTGAGGCTGCCGATGAAGGACTCATTTTAACTTATTGATGATGGGGCAATGAATAGAGTTTTTAGTCAGCAGACTGGAAGAACGTGGAATCTGAGGGGTGGCAAGTAAAGGAACAGGCTAGAAGGCTCCAAATTCTGAGCAGTGAACTTTGAGAAGTATCAGCACATCACAGCCACTTATCTGGAGAGTACTGGATGTGGGAGCACAGCCAACGAGGAGCCTCACAGAGATCAGAGTGGAGATCTGAGCCCCCACGTGATGACTCAGTCTCTGCCAGACACGGAAGAGAAGCCAACACCTCAGGAGACGCCAGGCCCCCACCTCTGTGTTCTGGAACACACCAGGTATGCACCGCTCTTCACTCTTCTTCACGATTCTGAAGGGCACCTGAGGGGCTTCTTGGGTAAATTCCGGGATGTGGAGGCAGGACCCTGACTCTGGAGACAAACAGAGCCCGGGCAGGGGTGGGGCTCTGGTGCAAGGCGTCTGCTTCCCTGGGAAAATGGCAGCTCTGAGAGGGGCTACGTGGTATTTCGTCTCCCTACTGTCCTGCCTCCCTTCCCTGTATCCTCACTTATGCTTTCCTGAGGGAATTGCCTTTGTGGTAAATAAGCTTTCCTCTGGTTGTGTTTCCCAGGGGACCCATGCAGGAGTGTTGTTTGTAATAAAGGTGATTAGGGGAAAGTTTTTCTTTCATCGAGTAGGAAATAGGCTTTGCACAATTGTGTACAGAAGACGGTGGGATGCCTCCAGTAACATATTTTTGGACCTCAAATCGAGGAGAATTCGTGTTTGGATCATGTGAGCATCCTTTCCCACGCAGGGGGAAAGAGGGGGCAAAACTAGCCTCTGAATCCTTTAATATTAGTTTAATTACTGTGGGGTACGGAATGGACAAGATAGGGACGCTGGGTGGCGCGTTGGTAGTGTTTCACAAACATTGCCACGGTATAAACACAAGACCAATAAAACACATAAACGAGGTAAAATCGTACTTAAAAAGTGGTTTAGGGGTTCTCCTTCCAGCAGGAAGTGTGAGGAGGTTTACAGAGCTCTCCTCAGGCAAACTGGTAAGAATTCTTAAGAAGCATTTAATGTGTCTACAAATGGTCAGAGAGCAAGTGAATACTATTTACTGAAGACAAATCAACGAAAACACAGGGACAGAAAGCAAGAATCTGTGGTAGTTGAATCTAGACTCGCTCCCTCTGTGACCCCTCCCAGCTCCCACTCAGACGGCCATCTTCCCGACCGGGGGCAGGACCTTGACATTTGGCAGCCTGCCCCCCACTACCTGTTGTGAGGCTAAGCTCCAGGTGAGTGTGCCTGAGACGTGAGGCTCCTTCTTTTCTTCTCGACCCCCTGCTTGAGGATGAAGGCTCTTCCTTGGGCACAGCAATGGCTGAGAATACTGGGTCCTGACTGCCCCACTCCAACGCATGAGTTGGGTTCCATACTGTGAGAGGCAAGCTGAGGGGACCTGGGTCTTTTACCCTACCCCACTGAGTACGGGGCTCCTAAAGTAGTGGTGTCATTCATAGAGAAGTATGTCATTATTCCTACACCCCAGCACTAGAGCTATGATTTACTTTTGTTTGTTTTTGCCTGGGGGTAGGGAGTAGTAGACCATGGAACAGAGGTCTCCAAATCACTCCCCAAAGGAAGCAACTTCGTTTTTTTTCTATTTTCATTTTTCTTTTTTTTTTTTTTTT